GCTCCGAAATAAACGCAGCCGACTGCCTGCTCTGAAATAAACACAGCCGGCCGGCTGCTCCAACATAATCGCAGCCGGCCGCCTGCTAACACATGCGGCTGCCTTTGCCTTCTTGGGCTGGCAGCTGCTCACAGCCTCACCCCTTGCAAAGGTCTAATACCCGCAATACCCGCGGGTATTGTTGGCCTCGCCCGTGTCCCGTACCCGCCGTACCCGTCGGTCCACAGAAGTCTGACAAGGCCGACCGGAGACCGTCCCGCGGGGTAGTTCCCGCGGGTATACCCCGCCAATCCGGGTACGGGGTCCAGCGCTAATCCTGAGTACTGGTACTTCCTAGTCACTACGGATCATAAGTTGGCAATAAAAGCAGGAAAACTGTTTTGAAAATGTATGAATCCTACAGTTTTGATATTGATTTTGGTTACTAACATCTGGAAGCCCTCTCCAGGTTCCTCTGTCATCCTTGACGCAATCAATTGTCAAGTTTGCAAAGTTCATGATGGGAACTACTGGGAGAGACAATTACCATCTTCCTGATCCACCAACATCCAAAGAACTTAAACAGTAGTGTACAAGGCTTGGAGTGTCAAATACCTTAAAACCATTGATGCCTTCCATCTAGAACATGCCGCCATAAACAATATCAAGGACAAGGTTGAAAGGCAAAAGAAAAATCATGTATGGCACCTGACTAAGGTACTAAGGGAAGGTGCCGGGGTCCATGTGCGCGGATAAGATTGGTTTTGGACAGGCACAAAATAGCCCTGGTCTAGTCCAAAACAAACCCGGCTATTTTTGTGCCTGAAGCAAAGTTTTCTCCACACCTTTTAATGTTCCCATTTCAAAGATTCGACACAACTTTCCTTCATCCGCAAAAACCAAATCTTATCTCTCATTCTCAACTCTCTACAAACTTTACCTAATTTATCTTTATAAATTTTCTCTATCTCTCTCGTTATAACACCAGTCCTCTCACTTTAAAACACACACCAACACATCAATATGGTCGACGCCAACAATACCAGAGCAACTTCAAAGAAGATCAAAGATTCAGCATCCTCGAAAAACAAGAACGACGACATATCAGTAGCGAACGCGCTGATCCCCGCGACACCTGGGATAAATCCTACCGGTTCAGTAGCAAGCACCACCCAAGCCCATAGTGGCAGTCCGTTAAACGTCTCCCAAGCCCCTAGTGGCAGTCCTTCGATTGGCACCCAAGCCCTTAGTGGCAGTCCGTTGAATCCTTCAAACAATGGTAACGTGATGCTCAAAGACACCATCCCAAACGGTAAGCCTTTCGAATTCCACTGCAAGGATTCTCTTTAGATAAGGGGGAAACACCCAGAGCGTTGAAATCCGCAATAACAAATTTAATAACATGATAAACATTCTTCTGATATGATAATTAGACTCGAGAGTCAATGACACCACATACTCTTTGTTAGTTGATACGAGCGAGTCACGCAGAGACCGAGCCCCAGTGGCATCACTCCTCCATTTACCAAAAGCGAAGCCTGCAGAAGCGGCCGCAAACGCTGAAGAAGAGGAAACCGAGGAAGACAACTCCCCAGGTTAGAGCAGAGCACACGATTTTTCCCATCTCGTGTAGCAGAACTCATTTCGCAAATTGTTGATGCAATCCCTGATACCGATAACAGACATCGCGACATCCTCCGTTATGACAGAGAGACAAAACATGTGGCAACGAGCGATTGCAGCGCAAGATGCAGGTGATACGTCCCTAGCCGAGATGCTTTTCAACGCAATAGGCCGGATTGGTGCGAGCCAACCCTTGATCCCGGCACAGAAAGCAAAGGCGAACGTTTTCGCAGTACCGACCCGTACACCATCTGGCGCGGTGATATATCAAGAGTCAGCCCCCGTGTTACCACCAAGCGAAACGCCGAATGGCCAGACGCCGGAGAAATTTTTCTTGACAGAGGGAGACCTCGTCTACGCGATCGGATCGGTAACGAACCACAACAGTGTGGGTTTCGCACCGTTCCTAGATGAGAACATTCGCAAGCTCAGATCGCCGTTACCACTCACAATCTTCAATCGTAAGTGGCAACAAAGAGCCATGTCCTATCACCTAGACCGACGTCATAGATCGGACGATTCGTCTGGCGAGAAGGAGAAATCAGGAGGATATAAAGGTTTCGCCTTCGTCCAAGAATGGACACAAACTTACGCTCAGTGGACTCGGAATCACCGAGCCTTTTGCAAGACACTTCATGACGTCTACAAAATAAAGAAGTTTTCGAAGTTACTCGCAACTCACAAGAACAATTGCGATGACATAACTGAAGAGTTTGGCTTCATGGTCGCTTTCCGCTACGATATGGAAGTGAGAAATAACACTTTCTCTCACAGAATCACTGACGAAGACGTAAAGAACGCTATCCCTGATATCTCACAACGGAAAGAATCTGTGGTCGAACAGTGCTACAACGTGAGCAGGAATTTCGGCGAGCTCGAGTGGGAAGAAAATCTGTATGCTCCCGGCTTATCACATTGTAACCACGACCCCTTGACCGGTTATGTCAAAACCTCAAAGGTGAACAACGTCCAGTACAGCGGTTATCAGAATAACGCCATGATACACAACCCAATCTCTCAAGGGCAATGGGTAACTCATTCACACAACAATTACAACAATCACGGCAACACGCAACACGGCTACAGCAACGTCGGTAACTACAACGGTAGCAGAAATATCAGCTCCTACCAAAATAACGGAGGGATCGGTAACCAGAATAACGGAGGGAACGGTAACCAGAACATCGGCAATAATAAGAGGCCCAGAGGAGGTTACCGAGGCGGGAATTACTCAGACAATTTCCAAGGAAGGAACGACGGGAACCAGCAAGGGAAAAAGGGAAACACAAACAAGTAGGCAGAAATCTTTTGTATTTACCAGGAAACGGCTACATCCCCCTGCCGTGCAAGCCCACGAGGCATCTGTCTTTTTCCCCTGCATTTGTGCACAATATGCGTTTATCTTTGCGCTCAGTCTCCGTTTATCTTGAAACGCGATGATCTTGTTTTTGTCCTGACCATTAGGCCCTTTTCTTCACCACCGAGTTCTGCGGAACTAATGTCCCCATATCTATGATAGTTACATGTATTGATTCATCTGTGTTCTTCTGTCTCTCCTCATCTTGATGCATCGCAATTTACGGCTGTTTTAAAAAAAAAAAAAAAAAAAAAAAAGAGTGGATGTGTCACTTTTGATTTGGCCTTCAGGAGTCAAATGTGAGATGAATATCTCCTTGTGGAGGGTGGCTTTAGAAGGAGCAGGTTTGCTAGAGAAATACCAAGACGTGTTACATGGTTTTGAACATGGTTTCGACCAAGGGATACCAGAACATAGGATCCCCGGCGTTTCATGGTACACACCTAACAACCATCTATCAGCAAGCCTGGCAGTAGACAAAATCTCGTCGTCGATGGAGAAAGAGTTAGAAGCTGGACGAATGTTTGGACCCTTCTCCCACGAAGAAGTAGAACAAAAATTCAGTTTTTTTCGGACAAGCCCTTTAGGAGCAGTCGTGAATGGAGACGGATCCGTCAGGCCCATCAACGATTTATCATACCCACACGACTACCCAGGGATACCGTCAGTTAATTCGTTCGTCGATAAATACGAATTCCAAACGACCTGGGACGATTTCGGTACGGTATCCAAATTTTTTAGATCCTTGAGAGAACCTGTGCAGTTGGCACTATTCGACTGGGAAAAAGCATATAGGCAAATTCCTACTCATCCGTCACAATGGCCTTACTTAATGGTAAAAGGCGTAGACGACAATCTATACCTCGATACAAGAATAACTTTTGGAGGCGTAGCCGGCTGCGGTTCTTTTGGAAGACCAGCAGACGTGTGGAAAGATATAATGGCATCTGAATTCGACCTCATCAAGGTGTTTCGCTGGGTCGACGACAATTTATTCATCAAGAGCCTTTCCTCAGCAACAGACATGGCGAATGTCATTTCCAGGTCTATAGAGCTAGGTGTACTGACCAGCAAACAAAAATGCACCAATTTCTCAGACGAACAAAAATTTATTGGTTTTCTTTGGAATGGGGTATCGAAGACAGTTCGATTACCACAAGAAAAATTAGAAAAACGGAAGGAGCAAATAAATATATTTTTGATAAGAACGCGCAAATTCTCTTTTAATGAAGTGGAAGTCTTGACAGGAAGACTAAACCATGTAACTTACATGTTGCCACAACTCCGATGTTACCTTAGAAGTTTATACCGGTGGCTAATAGACTGGTTTGACCTGGAAGCCAAACGATACACTCCTCCCGACGTCGTGGAAGATTTGACAGTGTGGAAGGAAACTTTAGGAAGTTTCAACCACACCAGGTTGATACCTTGCCAAGAGGCCACGGACATAGGTTGGGTAGGCGACGCATCAACTAGTTTTGGGATAGGGGTGATAATCGGTAAATACTGGAGTCAACTTAAAATCCTTAGACAGCGAGTCGGAAACGCGCCGAAACGTAATATCGCATGGTTGGAAACGATAGCAGTAAGGGTTGGTTTGATTATGCTTCATGTGATGGGCCGGATTCGTAAAGGGTCCAACTTATTGGTTTGGACAGATAATACAACTACCGAATCCGTTATAGAAAAAAGGAAATCAGGAGACAAGCATGTAAACGACGAGTGGAAGGCAATACAGAAATTCTTAATCAAAGAAGAAGTAGACCTGACGGCGAAAAGGGTCAAATCAGCCAACAATATAGCCGATAGTCTGTCACGAGGGTCATCGGGCAACCTGAAAAGAGAAAACAGGGTCACGTTCGAGATCCCTGAAGAATGGAAATTGTATCTCTGCCATGCTTAGTAACTTTGTATCCCCGATTGTTGTATATATACTTTTGTTATTATAACGTATCAAATTACCCTCCAGATAGTCGCGATAATTTTTCTGTCTGAATTTTACTCAAATAATTCTTGTTTCAAAATGATGAATTCATCAGAAATGGTAGATTCATCAGAAGATATAGTAGTAATAGATAACGAGCGACTAACAGTCGGGCATTTAAACAAAATAAAAGCTTTCGCAGCAAATGGGACGACTCACTACCCTATTTCTACGCTAAACGCTCATTTATTGAGCGGTTGGAAGTGGAATACTATTCTAGGTTATAATGCTGCAGTTAAAAAGTTCATATTCTTTAAAAACTTATCAGGAAATCACAAATTCAAGTTACCGGCATCGAGGAAAGACATAGAAGATTTTTGTTTTTGGGCGGGTAGAAATTTATATTTAAATAATTCCTATAAAATATCGGCCCCATCGATTAAGAAGTATCTATGTGGACTGAAAGCGTGGCACACTTTCCACAGCGAAGATTACCCAGAAATAAGCGACAAAAGAATCGAGTTACTCATAAAGGCATCATCAAGAATAGATGCTACTCTCCCAAAGAAACCGAAGAAGCCACCTATCTTACTCAAACACCTGATTTGGTTGGCGAACACGTTATTCCCCGGTGGCGATATAGACAAGACGATTATGGACCTGGCGATCGTTTCGTTTTGGGGTATGGCGCGTATTGGAGAATTTACTTACGACAAAACTTTTGGGGACTTAAATGCGGAGAATGCGGTTTTAACCTCAGACGTGAGATTGGTCAAATCGGCGATAGGCGAGAAAGCCATTATTACGGTCAGAAATGCGAAGACAGCGCAACCCGGTGCACCTCAAATAATCGTAGTACATAGTTTAAAAAACATGCTTTGCCCTGTACTGGCATTGAAACGAAGACTAGACGAAGCGAATGGCGAAAACACGTCGCTGTTCGGTTTCTACAGAGAAGGCACTAGGCGACATTTGACACGATCCATAGCTGTAAACCGGATCCAATTGGTGCTACGAGCAGGTGGTTTCGAAGGCCTTCTAGGACACTCATTTCGGGTTGGCGGCGCCTCGTTAAGATACGCTTTAGGCACTCCCATAGAAGAAATTTGTCTTTTAGGCCGGTGGATCTCAAATTGCTATCGCTTATACATCCGAGAATACACGGCGGAAGATACTGAAGACAGCAAGAAAATTATCGCAGAATTGAATGACTTGTGGGAAGAGGATTGATTTTTGTGTGAAATATCTGAATAAAATCGGAGAAATAGGTTTTTGTCACTAGGCTCAGGCTCCTATTTTAGTCGAGAAATTTTACACCTGAGTAGATGGCTTCTTGTTCCTAAACCTATTTCATTTTCCTGTTTTGAAGATTGAAAGAAAGAAAATAAAAATATATTTTCTTATTAAAAACACATTAATCATTTCCCATGGTCCCTAGTAGATCTGATTCCATACGAGAATCCAGATTTAGTTACCATCCCGCACTCCGGACAGCTGGAGGAATTTATTCCACTGCTGCCCTAGGAGATGTGCTACGGCGCATCTCCGACAAGAGTACCATAGGAATGATGAGCGCTAAATGGATGTATGGCACCTGACTAAGGTACTAAGGGAAGGTGCCGGGGTCCATGTGCGCGGATAAGATTGGTTTTGGACAGGCACAAAATAGCCCTGGTCTAGTCCAAAACAAACCCGGCTATTTTTGTGCCTGAAGCAAAGTTTTCTCCACACCTTTTAATGTTCCCATTTCAAAGATTCGACACAACTTTCCTTCATCCGCAAAAACCAAATCTTATCTCTCATTCTCAACTCTCTACAAACTTTACCTAATTTATCTTTATAAATTTTCTCTCACCTCCCACCCACCCTACTAATAAGTTCAGTAACAAAGGCTGGCTTCTTGTTCCTAAACCTATTTCATTTTCCTGTTTTGAAGATTGAAAGAAAGAAAATAAAAATATATTTTCTTATTAAAAACACATTAATCATTTCCCATGGTCCCTAGTAGATCTGATTCCATACGAGAATCCAGATTTAGTTACCATCCCGCACTCCGGACAGCTGGAGGAATTTATTCCACTGCTGCCCTAGGAGATGTGCTACGGCGCATCTCCGACAAGAGTACCATAGGAATGATGAGCGCTAAATGGATCTGAAAACTCACCTTGCACAACTAGTTGTGGCCAAGTTGAAAATACCAAAGCAACACAAACACCAACAAACACAAGTAAACCTCCCTCTCTTTTGATTCTTCTGCCTAGAATAGTTGACTTGCCTACCTGGACTCCTCATGTGCTGATGCTAAATATTGTATTATAGATCACTCAATATTGGATTGAAAGCACCATGAATTGTATTACCAAACAGCACAGACTATAATCTCTTTTGGTCCTGAGATGAGCAGGCAAAAGACTTGCTTTTCTCTACAATGACTATGATTAATGTTCATGATAATAATAGGGGCTTGGTTAAACAACTCCCAAAAAGTGGAGAGCTGACTCCCAAGCCCCGGATTCCCCGAAAAAAGGGAGTCAAACCCCCAAAACCTTTGATTGGTTTGGGAGTTGACTCCCTAGAAAAAATAATAATAAAAAATCAAAATCCCCGGGCGGTTTGGGAGTCGGCCTCCCAAACCGACCAGGGTTTGGGGGTCGATGACCCAAAATACCCAGGGCAGCGGCCGGGAGGAATCCACCCGGCCATTGATCAGGTACACTCAACGGCCGGGAGCTGACCCCTCGGCCGTGAGAGTGCACACACCTCAGCGGCCGAGACAATTCCTCTCGGCCGTTGAGGCTATACACTCTCAACAGCCGAGACAATTCCTCTCGGCTGTTGAGGGTACACACTCTCAACAGCCAACGGAAACTGTCTCGGCTGTTTGAGGTGTACACACCTCAATGGTTGAGGGTACACTCAACAGCCGTTGAGGTGTACACTCAGAGAAACTCGGCTGCTGAGTGCACACCTCAACGGCCGAGAGCTGCATCCCGGCCGCAGATAGTGTACATCTCGACGGCCGAGGTGGTTTCCCTCGGCCGGTAAGAGTGTATATCCTCAACGGCCGAGAGGAATTGTCTCGGCCGCTGAGTTGTGTACACCTCAACAGCCGAGACGGTTTCCATCGGCCGTTGAGAGTGTGTACCCTCAAAGCCAAGGGGAACCGTCTCGGTTGCTGAGGTGTGTACACCTCAACAGCCGAGGCGCTTTCCATCGGCCGTTGAGAGTGTATATGTACCCTTGATGGCCGAGAGGATTCCTCTCGGCCATTGAGGTGTACACTCTCATGGCCGAGGGGTCAACTCCCAGCCGTTGAGAGTGTACCTCAGCGGCCAGGAGGAATTTTCCCGGCCGCTGCCCTGGGTATTCGACCGGGGATTTTTATTTTTTATTATTATTTTTCTTAGGGAGTCGACTCCCAAACCCAAGCAAAGGTTTTGGGGGTTCGACTCCCAAAATTCGGGGATTGCGGGGGTTGGGAGTCGGCTCTCCATTTTTTGGGAGTCGTTTAACTAACCCCCTAATAATATAGTTTGTAAATTTATTTTTGATAGTACATAGTAAACATGAAATATACATAATGTTATAAGAATAAATAAAAATATATTATAACTTTAGAAAAAAGAAGAAGAAAAACCTATTCAGCAGGAGGAGCCGTCAAGACCAACCCGGTGATTTGCTGGAAGTCCGCACAGGGTTGGTAGAGTCTCTGACAATGTGAAAAATAAATTTTTGACTTCTCAGGGGTGATTACTTCGCGAATTGCATTTTTTATTTCTTCAACTAAAGCTGCTCGATTAGGCGGCTGCTTTGATTGTACATAAGATTTGATGGAGTGAAAGCTGTATTCGATGGGATTGAGGAATGGTGAGTACGGCGGTAAGAACTCGATCTTGATGGATTTTGATGTCTCGAGGGAGCCGATGACCTCCTTGAAGTGTTCGCCTTGGTGAGTTGGGGCGTTGTCCATGATAATTATTGATTCCCGAGGAAGTCGTGCACCAAGGCTGCCAAGGAAGAGGCAGACTTCATCTGCCCCCACCCCTTTTGCCTTGGTGTTGTCAGCATTGAGAAGCTCGTAGTAATCGAATCCATCAACCGAAAGAGCACCTATTAAGGTCACCTGCTTGGCCTTGGGAACAAGGCTAAGCACAGCAGGTTGACCTGGAGAAAACAAAAACAAATCAATATGAAACAGCAAACAAAAGGGGAAAAAATCAATATGAAACAGAGAAAAAAAAAGAAGTATGATAAGAACAAACCTGAGGGGGAATGTCCAAATGCCCGACCAGAATGGAGATCGAACCCGGCCTCATCAATGAAAACAACCCTTCGTCCGAGGTCCAAACCACATCGGTTCACAAAATCAGCTCGCTGCTCAATGAGCTCCGTCTTATTCCAGGCCGCAGGTATATTAGTAACCTGTTTCCATGAGATATCCATATCATGGATTAGGTTGCTAATGGCCTGTGTTGAAACCTTCACACCAAATCGCTCCTGGATGAATTTGACCATCTCTAGGAGTGTTGTTGTTGATTTTTGGTCGAGTTCCAGAAGAAGCTCGGTCTTCATATCGTCGGTGAACTTGCTTGGTCGCTTTTTGTGAGTCTTGACCTGATCAGGGTCCTCGGCCTTGATCCGTTGAATTTGGCGGCGGGAGACATTGAAAGCCTTCATGGCATCGACAATCTTCATGCCCTTTCCGTTGACGTTCTCGCGGATGAGTTCGCGGACCTCTGGTTTGATGATGGCATTCGCCTTTCGCTCCTTGTGGGCAAGTCGATCGTCTTTGTAGGTTCTTTTTTCTTCTATCTTCCCTTTCGCCTTTTTGGTTGCTTCTTGTTGAGCGATCTTCTTGTTTAGGTCTCGAAGCTCCTCAAGAAGCACACGCGACCTTTCCTTGTTGGCCTCGATCTCGAGTTCTGTTGAGTCCGTCACGGCCGAGTCGGACATCTTGAAAAAAAAGGGTAAGTAAAAAGGACGGTACAAGAAAAAAGGAAAGGATAAAAAATATAAGGAACTTACTTTTCTGTTGTTTTGGTGTTTCGTGACGAAGCGGTTGACCGTTCAGGTGAGATCGGCTTTGTGTCGATGCTCTAATCGGCCAAGTGCTTGGGGTGGGCCCAGCCTGACTTTGCCTTGTGCCAAGATCTGAGCCCAGCCCAACCCGGCCGATCAACCCCCTGGGCACAGTCCCAAGCCCTGGTGGCACTCGGCCAAGCGGGACTTGTGACTGTGCCCAGACGGGCTTGATAGACCATAATTATGAAAAACCCCGCCAAACTTAAACGCTTCCACGCTCACCTCGTGTATGTTGGCAGGCAGATTACCTTACAGGCCATCACATTTGGGCAGTCTTTTTTGGCCTTGTGCACTGCTTGCCTAAATAACCCTTGTCATTGTCACTGACAAAAACAAGTCGGCTTCAAACCTAACGAAAGCATCTGGAATGAGAGCCCCGCAACGCGACACCTGCTAATTGGCCGCTCAGGCCTAGACAGCGCAGTGCCCCAGTGTAGTGAGATCATTCTGGTTACGGTCTAGAACACTTGGTGGTCAGCTTGACGCCCGCTTGTGGAGGCGATGCTTGACTGGAGTCCGGGTGCTTGTTGCCGGGCGGCCTGGAAGCCGGAGCCATTGAGGTTAATGCGACCCTTCTAATTTAGATACGGGCGGTGATTCGGAATGGCAAGGTTACAAATTTTTGAGTATGTAGGATAGCTAGTGGTAGAGACTGATGCCGGTCGTCCGGTAAGGTATCCCGTTTTGAGGGACTCTATAACACTTACCAACCCTTGCAATCTGGGGTTTTAGAACGATATATGTGGCTTGATGTCCAGTCCATCATTGTCTCGAGCTTGATCCTTCTTGCCCAATCCAATTCAAGTCACATCCCTGTACAAAGATCCCAAAATCTGACACCTCGGCTGTTCTGCAACCTTTTTTTCGTTTTCTTGGTTCTTGTTATAAAGGAAATCTGGTCTCTTGCGTCCTACTTGCTATCTATCACCCCCGAGTCCAGACCATCGAATTCGATTTTTTAAACTCATCATGCAACAGCACTTCAGATGGATTGTGATATTATCGCTCATGGGCGCAGTCGTGGGAGCTGTTCCGGAACCCTCGCCGACGACTTTCATGTGTCCCCAAAAACGGACCGAGAAATTTGATGCGATTTGTATGGAGGATAGCTCTGCAGAGGTAAAAGCGGTCCATGATGTTAAGAGTGAGTGGATAATTGTCCTTTCATGATTGTCATCGAGATGATAGTTATGCAGAAAAACTGACGAAAGGAACTATCCAACTGACGCAATTCGACTCGAAAATAAAGTCATGTTACCCACCACCTTGCGTGCTAAAGGACGACACTCCTGTAGCGCAGCATCATATAAAGGGAAGTGTTGCCCGAAGGGTCTCATCGCGTTGCCGGTGAGTGGGACTGCACATATTGAATGATCCCCAGCTTGCAAAAAATTGGAAGGTCTGATTGGTTTGGATGAACTTGCTCTACTCGCATAAACCAGGATCCTAAGGATGTTGACTCGGTGAAGTCCACGGTAGCCGCAAAATGCTCTGATCCTGCGGCCGATGTATCGACCGGGACCCGCAGTGGAACAACTGTGCGGTAGATAGCTCTCGTGTCCCTCATTCTGATTGACTACTAGATTCAAAGAAGCTCTTCCAATTTGAGCAAGTTTTATATTTCTCTTCTTTCTTCGTTTTTCCTATATTTGATGTATAAATGTATATATCTACGCAAAGCGATCTTGACGAACGACCTCAATTTGCTTCATGGTAGTGGAGGGCGAAGGTCCCCCCCTTACAGTTCATAGAATACTTGAGCAATTTTCTCAGCTTGATGAGCTGGTTGTAATTAATAATCATGTGGCCTCTTTTTTGAATGAATTCTTCAATCCTTTCCATCTTGCTATGAAGCAGTAACATAAAATTGTATCAAAGTAATGCGGGAACATTGCCATTTGTTAGGAAATTATAATTCCAGGATGTTATTCTTGCATACGAATCACGATTGTCTTTCATATACGTCTTCAATTCAAATCCCTCTTGTAATTTTTAGAATTCGCCCCTTTCTAAAGGAAAGTCCCACCGGGGCATCCTAGTGACCATCACTTGATCAATCAGTTTGTCGGACTGGCTTACCTGAGAAGTTGATTGATGCAGCGCATCGCTGAGAATTTGCGGGACAAGATGATTTTTACAAGTTTGTGATGAGTGTTCGTGGCTGGGCCACTCCAAAGTCATATGCATCAGCCTCCAGTCTCCATACATCAACCATTCTTTCAAAATCCAATCAGTATCCAGTTTATGAGTTTATCAGCACCAGAAATCATGCCCAGGTAAAAAGGCTGCACTCAGAGGGAATTATGTCGCTCCTATGAACCGACAATCATAGTGGGTTCATCCTTGCCCACAGAAATTGATACCAGCAAACAAGTCCGCATGCTATTGTGGGTGCGCCTTTTTCAACGCGCTTAACAACCAACATTGATCAGACAAGCCAAATTGGTGCAGCACCGGTTAAGTGGCTAAATATCCAAACTTTCTTTGTTGGCTGTGAGCCAGTCACCAGCACTCTGGGGCTCAACAAATTGTTTGAGAGGCAGTTGCCCCATATGGGCTCGAATGTCAAGGTGATTGATGTGATTGCACCGGGCTCAATCTTCCATCATACACGAACTGCCCATCCTTTGGGTTCAAATAGCACGCTGATCTTTGCATCAGACTTGATTCTGTCCCACCCACATGTCCAATAATTGAGCAAAAACCAGTCACCCAAATCTCAAGATATATTACTAGTATTTTTTGAACAAGAAAAAGTGCTCTGTCGATTAAGTTTTTCACATTCCTCACAACCACCGCATCAGTTTTTGAGGCATCAGGATGCTTCTCTTGCAGGCAGTTGCTGTTGTATCACTTATCGCAACTTTTCCAGTTTCTTCTCAACCGGGTTTTACTTTTTACCAAGCATGCGGCAAGGCTGTGCCCGTTGCCTATTGCGTTCAAGCAGGGTTCCTAAACGAAAATCCTTCATGTAAGTGTATCAAGTGTTTCTAATCATTTGAATAGAGACCAACAAGCCACTCACTAATTGTGAACCGTTTTCTTGGTGGAATTCAACCTGAAAAGTCATAGGGCCGCAGAAAGTTGAGCGAGGAAAGTTCCGATGTTTTGATTCCGCAGGAGAAATTAAGGGACAATGTTGCCCAAAGAAAGTGAATTCCAACAAGGTGAGAAGCTTTTACGCACAGTACCCACTTGACCAACAATTATGCCCGTTCGATCAGTGTCTGGGAAGATATGCCTGGCCAGCCTCGCACCAAGACGCACCTGGGGCGAACAGCAGGTGGGACAACATCAGGCAGAGGACTGATTTTACCGATGAAGCCAACTGTTCACTATGAACAATACAGCTTGTTCACACATATAATATGTTGTATGGGTGAGCAAACTCCATATTTGGAGTATGGAAAGTACAAGAGGGGGAGCGGAGGGAAGCAATGAACACCATGCATTCTTGACCACAACATAATATATATCCTGATCCATGTCTGCTTTGAATAAAACTGACCAACTGTTCATCCCTAGGACCCCAAAACAGCGGTAACAGTGCCAAAGGAAATAGCAAAAAAATGCTTTGATGCCAAAAAAACTTGGTCTGTAAACCCATTAAGTTGAGCTATTTTATCAAGCTGGGAATGCAAATCTAAAAAATTCCAACAGCAATATGGATTCCACTTTTCAAGTCTTCCTAAACCCCAAGTATGCTTGTTTAATTCTGTGTTTTTCATGCCTGGCTACCAGATGTACCATTTTTCCTCTTGTCTGTGTTATTTTTTCACATCAAATTGTAATATACATATGTCACATAGTTCTCATAATCCCTTTAAGGTCAATCTAAATCATCATGATAAAACAAAAAAAACTTTCTGTGAAAGATGAAATTAGAGCAAGGTTTTTTCTATCAACTTGAGTAGGATAAATTTTCAATGTAATTTTGATATAGTGAGTCTTGAGGAGGTAGACTGGTTATGAAGTTTCTTAAGGAAACCACATCAAATTTTGTTGGAATCATGCTTTGTGTGTTAGTGCTTGCAAGAGTAGAAATGCAGGTGAGTTGATATCACTGTGTATCAATCTACCTAGAACAAAAATAATCTTGCTGATCATTTTTTTAAATCATGTACAGATGAAAGCTGCTTGCTTCTTGAGCAAGAGAATTCCAAGCGTAAGGCTTGTGATTTGAAACATGATGTCAGTGAAATCATGAATCTAGATGATGAGATAAATGTGTTTTTGAAATGTAGGAGAGCTTGAACAATCATGATCAGAGGGAAGAAGATTTTAATCATTAACAATTAGAACTTCTTTTCCTCCGAACATTATTGCATCCTAGCTCACAAGTCAGACACACCTCAACAAACAAATTGGTCAATCATATTTTTCCACCTATACTTGGTGAGTTATAATTTGAACCTTTCACTGGATCTTGAAAGAGAACCAAAAATAACATTGATGCTAACTAATCATTGAATTGCTTTTATGTGATGTTTTTATTTCTTTTCAATTGAAGAAAAGTTATCATTATTATTATCTTATTATCTTTATCACAAAGCTATTATTATATCCATTCTAGGTCTATTCTGCCTTCAGGTAAATAAGAATCTTTTTATTATATTTATTTCTCTATCAAATACTTGTATTTATCAAAGACCATATTAGCTTATAAGAAATGAATATGAACTTCAGTTTCCAAATTCTTTCAAATTTGGTGAGCCACAGCTTGAAAATTGCTGAGCCAAGGTTGATAGCCAACAGCTCATGATGTTCTTGTTTGCTTTCTGGTGGTTCTCCAGTTTGAAAATTCATCCCTTAGCAATGGAGCCCCTCCCTCCCAGATGTCCCCACATAAAAGTGTCAGCCTGCTACTAATCAGAGCCAGCCTGAACATAGCATTTTACATATAAATTAGAGATATTATTACTTACATATGTACACACAATTAAAAACAATAAAATATACTGTTTAAATAAGTGTAAGCACTATAATAGAGACATTATTACACTGTGCACTTACATTGTAATATTCCATGAGAAAAACATTTAAATAATTAAATAAATAAGGAAAAATAACATTTTTAACCAGAATCTCCTAATAACTTCTGAACCTTAAGCATAACTCAGATTATTATTGCAGATTCTGAATCTACCTAGGGTAGCTCACCAAGTGTACCCCTGAATTATTACTCCTTCACTTACTTTGTAGTCCTTGAGTGATATTGGACCAAAATACACTGTAGACCCCTCCAGTTACATCATACTACATGTTGTAAGGGGGCTACATGTGTAATTAAGGTTCATGCAGTTCGGGAAAAATCTACAAACAAGGTTTACATCATTGAAACCTTAACTACATAAGCACAGACTACAGTATTAAATTGTTTGGGATGATCTGTGGCCCTTTTTGACCCAATTGGGACAATCACTCTCTTGAGGATCAACCCATGCATCATGCAGTGCTTAAATAGGCTACAGGAGTGTTACAGTTTCGTCAGAACACCCTGTAAACATGGTTACAAGCATTACATCATCTCCTTGACGCCTGTAACCAAGCTCTACAGGTGCTACAGATGATCAAAAGCTCCCATAGGCTTAGTAGAAGAGTTGAAGCAACTAGAGAGACTCCTGAGTTTGCCTCCAGAGGCCCAGAATGGGTATTTAAGAGCCCATCCATCTTCATCATTACTTACCAGCATAAACCGTCACCAACAACCAGTTTCAACCTGCCTTTTGGCCCTGTTCCTGCTGTTTGCAATCTGAATTTCAACCTTCCAACTCAAAAACCTGTTCCCCAGCACTCTCAACATCTCTCACCCAACTTTCTGAGCGCCTCAAGAACAGTTCCCCCCTCCTGAGGACTAGAGATGGTTGATTGGCATCTGGATATCCGCGCGGATGCGGATATCCGGCTGCTTTTTCCGGCCATCTGAGCATCCGCATCTGCATCCGCACCCGCTGGCTGGTATCCGTCAGCCGCAGCGGGTATCCTCGGAAACCCGCCCTCTCAAGGGCCGGCTGGAAGGGCTTCCTTCCAGCCATCAAGGTACAAGTACCTCGCCAGCTGGAAGGGTCTCCTTCCAGCCGGCAAGGTACTTGTACCTTGTCAACTGGAAGGGTGTCCTTCCAGTCTACGAGGTACTTGTACCTCGTCCACCGGAAGGGCTTCCTTCCAGCCGGTAAGGTAGTGTCCTTCCAGTCGTCGAGGCACTTGTACCTTGTCGACCGGAAGGGTGTCCTTCCAGTCGTCGAGGTAACGAGGTACAAGTACCTCGCCGGCTGCAAGGGTCTCCTTCCAGCCGGCCATCTCCCCTTCCGGCCGCGGGTATCCTTTGGGATACCCGGATACCCACCAACTTTTTGCGGAAAAGGGGCCATCCGCACCCGTTGGCGGGTATCCGCGACGGATACCCTTTGACCATCTCTACTGAAGACCTCCTTGGCTTAGAGATAAGTACTAGTAAGTATTATTTCTTTGTTTCTTCAGTTGTGGGCTATTTCTGGGCATGCTCCTTTATTACAAAGGACCAGAGCATCAGTACCACCCCTGTAACCCAGGACCTGATATTAGAGGGCACCATAAAAACCCCTGTAACTCAGGCCCCTCTGTAAATAAAAACTATTAAGTTTTCATTTACTATTTTCTTTTATTACACAAACCTCCCTACTTTTCACGTGCCACCCACACGTGTACATATCCTATTATACCTTTGCACCTAGTGTAGCTAGAAGAGTTTTGGCTCTTGGCATCACTGAGGCTGACAAAAAGCCTCCCCTGACCTTAACTCAGCCTCGTATGAAAGGCTTTCTGCCCTTTTATCACAATTTTATATTCGAGAAGCTTCGCTCTGTACAGAACAGTCATCTTGTTTTCTACCTTTAACACACACTAA